TTCATAACTCTTGATAGAAGAAGCAGGAACCCAAATCCTTTTAGGGTATTTACTATCTCAATATGCTCACTTAAATGAGATATAAATGAATCAAAACGGGAGGTTACACCTCGGGAGGTTCTCTCGTAAGTCCGTAACATTTGGCTTTGTTGTATCTTTAATAAAACGTCATCGGTAGAGATTTGCATTTTTGAAGGAGTGAATAAAAGAATAGTGAAGATATGTGTTCTACAATAGGTAGAATAAAACAATCTTCTTGCAACTAACAAAAGCAACTACATTGTGTTTTACATTTTAAACGCACATAAATTGTGCTAACAGCTTTTCTGTACAGTTTGTATAATGCCTTAATCATTCATTTCGAGAATATGTTTTCACTCTATCAAAATTAGTAAATGCAACTTCAGTAACTCGATATTTTATTGTGACTTTTTTTCTTTTATGTATTACACAACTTGTTCTATGTGTCCATCTTTTCTTTATTTGTGAATGCTAACCTGAAATCAGAAGAAACGATAGAAATAAAGAGTGTACGTGCATCTATGTCGTACATAACATCTGTATTACATTGTACAAGAAAAGAATTTTGAAAAAAAAGCGAATCATACTGTAAAACATTTCAATTTCTATATCTACCCTTTGATTTAATTGATTATTAGTAAATTTTATTTATTGATTAAATAAGTTATTCGATTTTTCTTTTAGGAGAAGTGAAACAATCTTTACTAGATGGTGATATTATCAACTATGATTTAGTTTGTTTTGCATTTCTTATTTATAATTTTATAAAAATTATTTTTTTGTTTTTGTTTTAACCTTCGATTTAGGATCGTGGTTATACAAGACATCTTATTGATGATGTACATAATATTTGTGTTAAATTAGATGGACCATCAATAATAAATCATATGAAATTACTTTTATGGGATAAAGATACTCGGTAAATTCGATTATCTTTTTTGAAATGATTTATTATGATAGTTTGCCGTTTCTAGAGCTTATTCGTATTATATTGAAGTATCAGTTGATAATATAACTTGGACACGTATTATTGATTATCGTTTATATTTATGTCGTTCATGGCAAAAATTATATTTTCCTCCTATTGTAGCAAGGTATATTGTAAAAACATAAGAAACAAAAAAAAAAGAACTTTATCAATTTCTTTATTTTAGTTTTATTCGAATTGTTGGAACGCATAATACTGTAAATAAAGTTTTTCATCTTGTTTCAATGGAAGCTTATTATACACAAAAATCATTTGCACTTATTAAAGATATTCAAGGTTAGATTTTACAAAACGAAAAGACATTAAATCTTTTTAAAATTTGTTTCATATTGGTTAATTTAGTTCCAATAGAAAATATTGCAAGTATTGAAGGTAGTGCTGTTGTATCGGAAGGTGTTAGTCGTGTAAGAAATGCACTTATTAATGGAGATTATCAATCATATGATTGGGATACAGGTTAATTGAAATTAGAATAAATCAAAAAATTTACTTTTTACTTTTGTCTTCTTAGGTTATACATGTCATCAAATTGGTTCAGGTGGAATTGTTATACAATTATGTCAACCATATATTGTCAGTTCAATGAGGTAAAATTTTCTTTTCATTAAAAAATTATCAAATAGTAATTCTTCAGAAAAATATCTCTTTTTTTATTTTTATCAAAAGTAGAGACAAGGTAATAGCTTGTAACTCAATGATTCATAAGAGTCGAGTTATATATGCAAGATTTGATGACTAACTATTCTTATGCGAGTTTAGTTTTGTTACTAGCTGTTTTCGAACGAGTTAGGTTATTGAATGTTCCATTTATTCTATCCGATTGGTTGATGAGAGATCCATTTTAGATTAAGTAAGCTGAAATGAGAAGATATCACCAATAAAGTGGAAAAGTTTTGAGAAATCTTCGCTCAAATGAAAAGTGTTGGATGGTCAATATCAACTCATGAGGAAACTACTTGAACTGATACCTACCATTTGAGCTCATATTGGATCTACAAGAACTTCTTTCAAGCAAGACTTCGCAAATGCCATTAAATTACTCTTGATCACGTGCTGTCTGCATATAAAACATGTTTCTTCATACGGCAAATATTCATGATTAAGATTGATCTATAGCAATCATAGACACAATGTACTCTGTAACCGTGACTTTGTCGGGGAACAGTTATTTGAACATGATTATCACACATTAACAAAGTCATGTTTCGTCTGCTCATAATATCATGATTTAGCGTGTGCATGAGTGTGTGAGTCTTCTCTTGGGTAAAACTTATACCCAATTCATGTTAGTATCTTTCCATAAAATTTCTAAATATTTTGACATTTTAGAAGTCTTGAGAATCTCGATTGCGACCAGAGATGTACTAGAAAATCTCGTAACAGAATTAAGACGGGAAATTTTATTCATAGATAGTTTTAAAATATTCTATGTGTCATTAGATTGATCTATGGGGCAAAATTTCATGTCGAAATTCTGTTTTTTTTTTGACTTTTCGGTAAATACACGTATATAAAGCTGAGTTGAAAATTTAGTAAAACGATCTTAACTCAGCTGTAGAAGTTCATAGAGATGAACCTTTTTAGACTTTGCTATTCTCACTGGAACTTTCTTGTGGGGTTCATGTGAGTTCAAACGACGTGTATTAAGCCGAGTAGTTTCTTCGTTAGTTAATCGAGATGCAACCGCTATACACCTGAATAAGCCTATGGAAAATTTTCAGCAAGCTACGAATCCATAGACAAATGTTTATTCACTTGTTCCAAATAAGATATCGACTAAAATTCATTTATACATATTTTTTCCTGTTATATCAGGTTATTATTATGGGATTGTGATAATCGCTCATATTCGTATTATATTGAAACATCATATGATAATGTAACATGGTCAAAAGTTGTCGATAAACGAAATGTTGCTTGCCGGTAAGAGAAAATACTTTCTTTAAAATTCTATTCATTATGAAATATTCATTAAAATAGATCATGGCAGATTTTAACATTTTCACCTCGTATTGTCGTCTTTATACGTATATGTGGTACACATAATACCGCTAATGAAGTATTTCATTGTGTTCATTTTGAATGTCCATGTAAACCTGATGTACTTAAATTATATATGAATGAACAACATTTAAATTTAGTGACCGATTTCAAAGAAGAAAACAGTATAACATGTGAAGAGTTTTATAAACATTATGAACTTCTAATTGATACAATAAATAATAATAATCCATCATCGACATTCGATAAGAATTCTTTGATAGAAACACATACAATTTTACCATTTATGATTAAATCTAATTCAACAGAAATATTTCATATTGAACAAGAAGATAATGATCAAAATTCTAATCAACATTAAACTTCTTTTTTTTTCTTCATGTGTTTTTATAAATTATATGAATGTTATAGTTTTAAAATATTTGCTTTTTCACTGAAGCGAGTAATGATTTTTCTGATTTTTGTTTATCAGATGAGTTTTTTATTGTTATTAAACATTTTACTATTTGGCAAGTTAAAAACTAGCAATATATAAATTTTTTTAGAGAAAAAAAGAGTACAATTCAATTGTTTTCTGAAAATACCTGATTTTTAATATATTTGGATTAACGACATTCATTATGCTAAAGTGGTTAGGCGAGTTCTGACTTGTCACATTTAGATTTAGTTCCGAAAAAAAAGTGATCAAGATTAGAGACTGAAATGGATCGGATTAATCGATATCAATGCTTATCGATGATGTGTCTATGTTGCTAAATGGTTTCGTCTCAATAATTTCAGACCCGATTGAACAAAGTCTATAGACTATTAACACAAATGTCAGTACTGAGAAACTTATCATTCTTTTTTTCTGCATTTTATCTAATTACACAAGAAAAGGGGATAGAATTTTTTTTTATTACCAAAAAGTTGAGTTTTGATCACCAAATTTGTCCAGCTGCGAAATGATCACCAAAAAAATTGTTTTTTGATCACCAGATTTTCTAGCTGCGAAATGATTACCAAAAAATTAGTGTTTTGATCACCAAATTTATTATAAACAAAAATAAGATTAACATATAGAAAAAAATATATTGACAATGCTATATGAATAAATAATAAATAAGAGAAATACAATATACAAAAAAAAATTTACAGAAATAAAGCTGTACGAACTTTTTTTGGACGACCTTTACTTTTTCTTTGCCCTAATGGTTCACAACGAGTTTTGTCCATGACTTGATACATGTTGAATATTATAGCTAGTCCAACGGAGTGTTTACATGTGTATTGTTTATAGTATAAAGAACGATGATCACGCCATATGTAGAAAATAAGATTATTGGAAGATGACATGGTCATCAAGGGTTACCTCGATAACAATTTTGTTCTATTTTAATTGACTTATATCATAATTAATTTGATGGTCAAAACACTAATTTTTTGGTGATCATTTCGCAGCTGGACAAATTTGGTGATCAAAACTCAACTTTTTGGTGATCAAAAGACATTTTTCCCCAAGAGAAGAGAGAAAAAGCAAGTGAAGAGAAGAAGATGATCAGCTTCTTCTCCTATATTCTAGAAAGAGGATGATGTAATGCATTATTATGTGATGTATCTCTCCTTTTCCCAACTGCACGTCAAATATACATTTAAGTCACATTGAGAAAAGCGTCAATATATGAGACGGTAAGACAGTGAAAAGAAAAGGAAAGAGAAGAGAAGAGAATGGATATTAGAGAGAGGAAAGGAACAATAACAACAGAGAGAGATTAAAAAAAAATGACATAAAAGAAAATATAAACATCACATGTTTTGAAACAAGTATGGTAATCATTAGCTTACATAGATGAACTCGATTTGTTAACCGAAAAGTAAGAAAGTGTTCTTATTTTCATATATCCTTAATATTCTTTTCTCGAATATTGCGCTAATCATTTATATATACTGATAGGATAATATTCGTTTTATTTCATTATAAATCATGTTTAAAATCCAAGAAATTGATAATGTAAGAAATGTATTAGATCTAGATATTGTCAAGTATTATCTGAATTCAGACTCGATTTAGTATAACATTTCAGACTCAAATCCAACGATATTTAATCAGGAATGAGGATGAATTTGGGATTGTGGCATATGAAAAAGAACCACTACATCTGCTGTAGAAGTGGTTTATTTTCAAGCTTATCTCTACAGAGCATGAACATATTTTCTGCATCTTTATCTTTTGATAAAAATCGTTTTCTTATTTTTAATTTGGAATTATTTTAACAGACTAATTTGAGATGTTTAGAATTTTCTATAGGAACGATGCAACTCCAAAACGATCAAATCATATCATCTCTCCCTCACTTTCGAGTTTAGTACTTGATAAAAACTAAAATTTCAAATCGAACTAGATCTACAATTCGCTATGTTTTAACATAAATTCTATTTTCAACTAAATTATTATCAATAACAATACTATTCTTGTATTCATATTTTAGAATATACTAATTATTCTAATGTTAAATTTCTTAAATTCCAAATCTATAGTCCAACAATATTAGCTAATTGGTCGATAACTGTTGATACTAATTACCTTATCAATATTCATTTGTATAATAAAATTAAAAAAATTTTTGTTTTCATTAAAATAATTTTTTTTTTTTTTTTTTTTAAAGTAGTGTTCTTCAATATGGTACTTATTCATTAATCACATGACAAAATGAATCATTTCTTGAAAAACATACATAAGCATTGGTCATGATTTAATAACAACAATATGAAATCAAACATCATCAAAATGAAACAATTCAATTAAAAAATCTATTAAGAGAAATAACATGGTTTGCTGTGGTAATAAAAGTATTTAAGAAAATTTTTATTCTTTATTTGAATTTATTTATGGATTTATTGAAGATCAATTATCAAATACTAAATCCTAAGTACATATATATATATATATATACCAATAATAGGTTGAATTCAATAATATTAACAAGAAATAATTTATCTATTTATTTATATGAATTTATTGTTGATGATAGAAATATTAGTGGAACAATTCGTTTCGATTTTCAAAATCAAATGAAAGTAAAGATTAATATTAGTTTTGTAATATAATTACATATATATTTTTTTAATAGTTGTTTTTATTTTATTAAATACAAATATTAATATTCTTAGATGTTTATCTAAAAATTGATGATGTTCATATAATAAATTATAAAATTGTTATTGATAAAAAACTCATTTACACTCAGATCATTACTGTCTCGAGAAATGGATTTATGGTATTTAACATTACAATATATTTGTAAAAAGTAAGTTTAATTAAAAAATTATTTTATTAAAATAATTTTTGTTTTAATTCAGAGAATAAATATGATAATACTTCAATGTCAGTTACATTTCAAATATCATCATCATAATGTACTTGACAACAATGTAGAACATATAATATTTGTAGAATAATGACATGAGAACAAGTTATATTTTCGACTTCTACATCTCTTGCTGATTATGAAAACAATCTGAAGAAAAGGGTCCGTATCACTTTGCCGACACCACTTTGCCGAAAAATTGTTTTGCCGACATATACACTTTGCCGACAGTCACTTTGTCGAAAAATTCTTTTGCCGACATATACACTTTGTCGACAAAATTCGTTAATAG